TTTTTTTTTTTTTTCCGGATTGTAACGTTGCTGTGGGAACCGAGCGGGAGCAGCGAGGGTGGGAAGGGAATAAAATCCTATTTTTACTGCCGCTCCTCCTCCGATTTCTTTGGGAATTTTTTTCCTTGGATCCTTTTCCTTGAATCCCTGGAACTGCGAGAGTTGAGTAGGAAGGAACCGAGTTGGGAATTCTCGGAGCGGAGCTTGGACGTCTCGGAAGCAAAACAAGGAGAGAAACCGACTTGAAATCCATGGATGAGCCGGGATTTTCCCACCTCTGCCATTCCCAAATCCACCTTTTTTTGGGAATGGCAGCCAGGCCTCCTCCCTGGGGTGGCAATGGTGCCTTGCTCCATGGGGGTTTTTTTTGGGAATGCTGCCATTTCCAGCCCCTTTTCCCAACCTTGGCAATTCCCTCTTTGTAAATAGTGATCAAGCAATGATTTTTTTTGGGAATGTTGGATTTTTTTTGGGATGGGTTCAGAGCTGGTGACTTTGCGATCCCTGTGTGTTGTGTGTTCCCGGTTTTCCTTTCATTTGGGAGGCAATTTTAGGGTTTTTAGGAAGTTTTTTTTTTTTATTTTGGGGGTTTTTAGGGGAATTTTTGGGGATTTTCGTGGCTCCAGTGCAGCCAAATCCCTGGAAATGGCAGGCATGAAAAAAACTGGGGATCCCTATAAAAAATATCCCAAATTCCCCAACCTTGGAATAAACCAACTCTTCCCCCGTTTCCCAATCAGCTCCTTCTGGAATTTCTGCCCCAATCCAGGAAAAAACACTTGGAAAAATCCCAATTTTTTCACCCAGAAAGCCAGGAATTCCAGGAGAAATGCCTGAAATTCCATGGAAATTCCTGAAAATTGTATTTTCTTACCATGTGGGAGGCAAAAAAACAAGGAAAATCCTTGGGGAATGTACAGATCCTGCGGGAAAAAGCCCTTTGGAAGTGACTTGGATTTCCTAGGAAAGCTTCTGTGTGTAGAAATCCAGCGGCTCCAGGTTTTTTTGGGAATTTGGGGGCCCGGCAGAGCCACCTTTGGAGTTTTTGTCTGTTTGGCTTTGAGGAATTTCAATAAAGCTTTTTATACAAATCCCGCCTCTGGAATTCTTTCTGGGAGAACAAGGAATGGCAGCCTTGGAAAAGCGGGAAATTCCCGGATCTTTTTTAGCACCCTGAAAAGAAGGAATTGCAGCTCTGGAAAAATGGGAATTCCCGGTGTTTTTTAGCACCTTTGTCTCCCGAAAATCCTTTGGATGAAGCCCAGGGAGAGGCTGGGGTGGAGTGAAGCTCCTGGAATGTTTTCCCTCGGTAATGGGGGGGTTATCCCAGGAAAACTGGAGCCTTTCTCCTGGAAAATCCTCTCCTGGTTTTGCTGGGAACCAGGAGCTCCTGGATCCCAGGTAAGAGCCAGCGCTCTGTGTTTTCCTCCCTGGAAATGTTGGGATGAGCTGGGAATGCTGGAATGAGGATCCATGCTGGATTCCAGGATCCATCTTCGGCTTCTCCCCCTCTTTGGTCCGGGGGAGCGCATCCAAGAATTTTCCTGGGGATCCCCCCCAGCCCCTGGATGGAGAAGGAAAGGCGGGAGCGCGGTTCTGGTATCCTGAAAAGATTTTATTCCATCACTATCCCGTGGGAGCATAAATAATCAGGAAGGACAGCACACGGAGCGCAGCAGGGAACGGCGGGAGCGCGGGACACGGACGGGACAGACCCACGCCGGGAACTCCAGCAGCTCGGATTGAGTGGGAATTGGGATCTCCAGGAAAAACCAGCGGGATTTGGTGTCATTCCCTGTGCTCCAGGTAAATCCCGTCAATCCTGGGATTGTCCAAAGTGCCGAACGTGGCGAGCTCCAGGTGCATCCCTCGGGATCCATCCTCAGGATCCATCCATGGGGCAGCACCCCCAGGAAAATCCCAGGATCCCAAATTTCCACCAGGGAACGATCCCATGGAAGGATCCCAGTTCCCCACCATGGGAAAGGATCCTGGGACAGATCCCAGGCTCCAGCTGCAGGAAGAATCCCAAGTTCCCACTACAGGAAGGATCCCAAGTTACAATCGTGGGAAGGATCCCATCCTGCTCCCATGGGAAGGATCCCAGGCTCCCACCATGGGAATGATCCCAGTTTCCCACCCCAGCAAAGATCCCGGGATCCCACCGTGGAAAGAGTCCTGGGCACCCAGCATGGGAAAGGATCATGGGAAGGATCCCATGTGGAAATTTCCCACTGTGGAAACGATCCCAGTTTCCCACCACGGCAAGGATCCCGTCCTGCTCCCATGGGAGTGATCCCAGTTTCCCAGCATGGGAAGGATCCCGGATTCCCACACGGAAACTCCCTTTGACGATCAAGCCCTTCCCACTTCCCGCCCCTTTTCCAGTTCCGCTCCCACCGTCACATTTTTGCATAGGAAAAAAAAATTAATAGCAAGGAAGCGTCGCGCTTTCCCGGGAATCTGCCCCGGGCTGGCTCATCCCAACAGACAGGACATGGCTCCGGCTTGCTGGGAGCCTCCAGGCTTTCCCAGGAATCAGGTTAGAGCGGGATTAGTGCCGGACAAGACACGCAGGACGTGATTCCAGGCTCTCGGCAGCCGCGGACTCCGGAATTGTGTTCTGGGTGAGTGGATCCGAGGAATTCAGGAGTAAGAAACAAAGGAATTTCTTTAGAAAACATCCCTGGAGTCAATTGTTCTTGGGGCTGTTCCGGAAGTTCTTTAATTCCAGCTGCAGCTGCCGGATCCGAATGTCCTTCTGCGAGAGCTCGTCCTTCAGCCGCCGGATCTCGTCCTGCTGCCGGAAGAACATCCGGAGCAGCTGGAAAACAAGGATGGAGATGGAGGCATGGAGCTG